TATTTTTTTTATTTTTTTTTTCTTTCCTTACTATTAGCCTAATAAGGCTATCTAGCTATTAACTTTATACATAAAGGCTTAAATAATAAGGCCTCTATAGTAGGCCTATATCTTTAAGGTTAAAATTATATAAAGTTTATCTGCCTTAATAATATAATTACTGCCTTAACTAAGTAGTATTAATACTGCCTATAGGTCTCTTAGTAGCTATATTAGCCTTCTTCCTTTACCCTAACTAAAAGACTAAAATAATATTAAGTTAAGTTTATTATAAAGTATATTTTTTAACCTAACTTTCTTTATTAATTATAGCTATTAATATTAATTATAGCTATTAATATAATACCTATATAAAATAGTCTATAGCTATATAATTAGGCCTACTATATAACTAGCTATAACCTTAATATAGCTATTAGGCCTGCCTTATAAAGAGCTAATAAAAAAGAACTAAAAAAGGTCTATATAATAGTAGCTACTATTAAAAAGAACTTCTTATTAAAGTGCTAATTTAATTTAATTAAAATAGCTATTTTTAATTATAACTTAATTAGATTAATCTATTATATAGGCCCTTTTAGCCTAATTAATTTAATTTAGGTTAATAATAAAGCTATTAAGTCTAAAGGATTTAAAGAGGGTCTTAAAGGAAGGTTATTCCCTTAAATTAGATTAAGCTGCCTTCCTTACTGCCTTTATAGGCCTAAACTTAAATATATATAAAGAGTGGCTTCTTAATATAGCTAAAAAGGTTATTATAGTAAAGAAGGTGCTGCTTTTAATATAAGGATAAAGGTAGGGTAATAGTAGGGTTTAAAGGTTCTATTAAAGTTAGAATATACTAAAGGAATTAGGTTAACTTTTATATAAGTTAGTTAGTAAAAGCTAAATTAATATCTACTAATTAAATATATATACCTAGGTATATAACTAATTAATCTTATATTTAAGAACTGCAGATAAAGTAATATCAGTAAAGAAGCAGTGGTTTAAAGTAAAGTTATATTTTTTATAGTTTTTTATATATTAATAAATTAAAATATTTTATATAATTTTTTTATAGATTTTATTTAACTTATACTTTTATTTACTATTAAAAGAATTTATATTAAAAATTTAGATTTTTTTAAATATTATTTAATAGTATTATTATAATAAAAAGGAAATAGAGGTTAGGAAATTATAGTTACATTTTATATATAGAGACTAGGGCCATGTGGTAGGTGGGTTACTTATATTAGTCTATGCCTTTGGAGAAGATCATACCGTTGCAGATATATCAGATCCAGTTCACTGCCTCTCTATCTGCTATTAACGTTAAGCTCTCCGACGATTGAGCCCACTGCCCGAAGATCTACCGTAGAAACGAAAATTATAATTGTAGATGTCGGAATGCATTGCAGGCTTCAATATCATTTCGAGACCAAATCTTGAGTCTTTGCAATTGGCAATTTAATTTATCTCACAGGGCCTTGCGCCTCTCCTGTTGTCTCTTACCCTTATTACCTTCGCCATAATGCCTCGTCCTCATTTCGTAATTCCCGCCCATCTACCTCCTCTTCACCTTTATCGACACATCCTTCGCGAAGCATCGTATCTCCCTCCAGCAATACGTCCAGAGGTTACGCACCGCGTTCGCGCACGATTTCGAAGCCATCGAAAATATGATCGCCACCAAAACAAACACCGTGCCACTGCGGCCAATTTTCTGCGTAGATTGAGAGCAGCAAACAGTGGCAAGCAAACGCTCATGGAAGACTTGATAATGGATGCCTTTGGTAGAACAGGGGCCCGAAGGCGAAGCCTGCTTTCGCACTTCATACAGCTCGAACCTCCCAGCAACTCGGATGCTTTAGAGGCCTTGATCCAAGGAGTTGAAGCGCACGAAAAGCTTCCAGAAACGGTCGAGCTTAAAGCAACTGAGTTACAAAATGGCTCCTCTTCACCCAAACCAGCCGAAACAGCAATAGGAAGTCAAAACTCTACGAATTTCTCAAAGGACACGAACGAAACACCAGGCAATGGAGAAGAACCAAAAGCGAAAGTAAATTTGGTAAGAAAAGGACCAAAACCTCTTCAGCCAGCTTTCTATGCGAAGTGGGACACCGAGAAGCTCCGAAAGCTCCTCCGCAGTCAGAGGGAGGTACAGCAATCATCGAGGCTATCTTGGCCTCATAGGGACATCAAAAGCCTCCAACCCGATTCAAAAGTCCCTGCTCAAACCATCTGGGGGAAACCACCAACTCCAAACATATATCAAGCCAAGCGAGCAAAATTCTGGAAGCGCATTTCAGACAAAACGATGCCACCAGTTGGAAAAGACGAATGGGATATCTTAGGCCGACTCAGCAGCGGCGCTCAACAGGAAGATCAGTGGAAAGTCCCAGGAAGACGGCCTGTTGCGATGCCCTCACGCGGTGCTACTACAAAGTCTGATGCCTGGGATTGGGAGGGCTATGCTTCTCGGCCGGCCCCTCAGGTTGGGCGTCAGAGTAGGCTTTCCGCCTATGCTTTGGTTGGACGGGATACGGAAAAGCATCCATACCAGCCAAAGTTCAATCATCAGGAGTATTCGCCCAGATGGTATAGGCGTACTTATCAACGAGTCTGGCAGTTCACCCCGAAGATGGATCCAAATTCAAAGCCCGACAGGCTCAAGTTTATATGGGGTGCTTTGACAACCCCCGCGGTCCCCCCTACAAAAGCGCAACTGGCTATCTTCGAGGGCGCCGATAGCAAGGGTAAAAAGCTAGAACCCCTTTCCCGATCTCAACGAGCGCCATACTCACAATCAAGGACTGCGGCCAACCCTCTTGGGACGCAAAAGTCATAGACATCACATCCTCCGTGCTCAGGAACATTGAACTGTTTTGTATTCCATTGGGTCTATCAATCCGTCAAACTGGCCAGCTTGTTCAGGCCCTCGCCATCTACACGCATACCGACCCAATCGTTCATGGCGTATGCACCAATGCTCTCATAGAATTTGATGCTGGGCTCGTTCCACTTGAGGACTACCCAATCAAGTCGAGCGCCATCAATGGCAAGGACTTGCTTAGCCAGAGTGCTCAACAGCTTCTTGCCGTATCCCTTGCCACGTGCCGATTCGCGCACGTATAGGTCCTCTAGGTAGATACCCGCACGCGAGCGCCATGTGCTGTAGTTATAGAAGTACAATGCCATGCCAGCGGCTTCACCTTCGGGGGTAAAGAGGAGAAGGCAGCGAGCAGGCTTCGTTGATGATATAGGTTCGGTGGCTGGGATAATGGAGGCGTCGATATCAGGGGAGTCGGAGGGTGCGAACGCGACTGTGGCCTGGATGCTTTCAACGGTCGCCTTGTTGGCATCAGGCTCCTTCTCGTAATCGGCGAGCTCCTGGATGAGCTGGAGAATTATGGGAGCATCTTCAGAGAGCTTTAAGTTAGCGCCATGACGACTCTCCAGAGGCATTGGATTGGATTGGTTGTTGGAGCTTACCCTCCCTTCGGGCATGTCGAATTGTGGCCATTGTAAACGTATGATAGTTGACAGCTGTACAAATGCTCCAAGATACCCTCTACAGAGAATTATATTTATACTTGAGTAGATCAGAAGAGCTAAAAACTGTAGAAAGTTTGGTTGACTTGGGCGCAGTTGACGCCTTGTTAGTGGGGTTTGGTTTTACGTGAAGGGCGCGTGTAAGGAGGGGCAGTAGTACGGAGGTAGGTCTCAAAAGTCTTTGCTCAAGATAACTGTGGCTAGAGGACCCACTTTTGATAAGATACCTTAGGTACATCTAGCGAAATGATAGTCACTAATTACAATAGAACTACAGCAAGGAGAGCCAGTAATTTATTTACACGGCTCCTCTAAATGCCCTATAATTATAGAGCTACTATAGGGCAGTCTCCCTATATCTCTCTTATCACTTGTACTTCCTTGTACCTGACAGGGATTAGCAATTGTGGCGTAAGTCATTTTAGGCAAAGACTTTTGAGACCGACCTCCGTAGAAGCTGAGCGGAATTGGGTTTAGCGACAGATCCCACTCGTTGGTGTAAGTCAACATTCTATCCACCTGCATCCTTTGTTACCACTCCCGGCTGTAGAGGCAGCAAGTCAATATTGTCGAAGAGTTTTCATCTTGTATTCATGGATGCTCTCAGAAACTACTCCATTGGATTCTAGAGTCGAGGAATTGACATGACCCCGTTGTCTGTGGCCAGCATCCATTCCAATACGATGCACTACGACGAGTTAAAAGCCATACGGCCGAGCCTCCGTGTTTCCTTTAGACACTTTTGACTTTTGCATGAACGGATCGAAATGGAGGATTTTTTTCTTGGGGGCTGAACCATCAGAAACAACTCAGTGTCAAATCTAAGACCGAATCACCAACATAGTAATGGACAAACAGTCTGCTAACTAAGGTAGAAAGCTTTTTTGATTCATTCGTGATTCATCAACATTACGCAAAATGATTGCTTGGGGTATGTATCTAACTTTTGTGAACCAGCCACTGTACAACTCTATCTACAGCAAATATCTGTAGGTGGGCGCATTATCGCCCAGCTCGGCCTTCTCCTCGTTGGTGAGTTCGGTCTGCGGTGGGTTCGCATCTCTCTTCTTGTTCTCGTATAGAATCACTGAAGCGTATGAGAGACACGCAATAATCGACACAATAGTAAAGGCAATGCAGATGGAGTAACCCGGGATGAATTTTGGTGCATCCTTGGCCAAGAAGGCATACACGGCGATGATACCACCAATGTTTCCGAAGCCAACTTGCCATGCGCTGCCGATGCTTCGTCTCTTGTGGCCTCCGAGATTCATGTTGAACCAGCAAACAATGATGGGCATGGCGGTGTATGCCCCCATGGTGACGAGAAATAGAGCGCCATACTGGACAGAGTGGTTGTCGTGCACGGCTAGAAGAATTGCGAACCCGGTGATGGCGACGAGGATAGCAAAAATGGCGAAGGAGGCTCGGTGTCGAAGCTTGTCTGACGCAAATGCGATAGCAAGCGAGAAACCAAAAGCAGCAGCCCACGGAGGAACGCTGTAGAGCTGCGTCTGAATGGGACTGTATCCGTATGTCTTGATGATGCCAGGTGCAAAGTAGGCATAGCCATATGCGGGCACAATGAGACCGAAGTACATGAAGCCGCCAATGATGATCTTGTAGTCCTTGAGCACGTTGAGCGCATCGGCAAAGGTCGTCTTGCGCTCAGCGCCGGCGTGGCCCTGGTCGATGCGCAGCCTTGCTGTGACGTAGTGCTTCTCTTCGCTGGTGAGCCACTTGGCCTGCTCAGGGAAATCGGGGAGCAGGAAGTAGAAGAAGAAGCTGACTAGAACAGTAAGACCACCCTCGAGGATGAAGATCCAGCGCCAACCGGCGTAGCCTCGCATACCGCTCATCTTGCCGATGGCTGCAGCGAGGAGACCGCCGAATGCGCCGGCGAGAGTGGTGCTGTTGAAGAAGAAAGAGTAGCGGCGCTGGGCTTCGTGTCGGCGATACCACATGCCGATCAAGTAGAAAGCTGCGCTTAGTGTAAGTCATACGTCCTCTGCCATGCGCCAGATCAAAGATCAACTTACCACCAGGGAACATGCCCGTCTCGAAAAGACCCAGGAAGAAACGAGTCGCAATAAGACCGCTGTAGTTCTGAACCAGACCCTGGAGGAGGGTAGTAAGGCCGAAGAAGAACATGTTCAGGCTGAGCCAGACATGGGGCTTGAAGCGCTTGAGAAGAATGTTTGATGGGATCTCAAACAGGACGTATGGCACGAAGAAGACGACGAGGGCGGTATTGTATTCTGTCTTTTCGAGACCGAGTTCTTCGGACAGGCCAAAAACGTCGGCATTGGCGATGTTTACACGATCTGTAAGTCATGGTGTTAGTCGATTATTTATGCGACGCGACACGGTATGAGGATACGGACCCAGGAAAGCAAGCAGATACATGATACACAAGAAAGGGATGACATGGAGATCAATCTTGGTCATGAGCTTGGTATCAGTGGTACTCGAGGGGCAAACCACCGTTGCGTCGTCTGTGTGAACGGCATCGCGGAGGTGGGAACGCTCAGGGTCGAGGGAAACGGGTGACTCGTTGCCTTCTTCTTTTTCTGTGTGGTTGAGAGCCATTGCCGCTAAACAACAACAATTGCTTCTAGCAAAAGTGTAGTTACTGAGTCTGTCTGTAGACAAAGCAGAGGAGAGAGAGAGAAAGTTAGAGTGCTCTGCAGATCCTCAAACGTGGAAATGAGTTGCGGGCCGCCACTTATAAAGAAACTTGAATGTCTCGGAGCAAGTCCGCCTTTTTAAAACCCTGGGTAACACGACGAGTCACACCCTCTTCTCTCAACAAGCTGCTATCCCTACTAACTACTACTGTAAGGCAAAATAGTATCACCATACCCTAACCAGTCAAAGATGATCAAATTGTCAATCCTACCTAAAGTGAGTGGATCGTTGCATTGCAACGAGAAAGACCCAGCCGAGGTCGGGGTAATGAATTACATGGGGGACGATGGCTATCACGACGCTTAAGCAGAGCAGATCCACAGACTCCATGCGGATGGGGGTTAGATCACCCCGCAGGGAAACATGGAGTTCGCCGGGGCCGGGCCATTCAGCAGGCTCTTGATTTACGGCCGAGTTGCGGAGCGAAGAGTCTAATGGATTGTTTGTTAATCCCGACTGTGGAGGAGCAATTTGGACCGATGTCGCTTCTTCATTCCAATATCGGAGATAATCTGTCTCTCTCGCTTGACAAATGTGCGTACGTTATCAATTGCTTTCATCTGGATATCCGTGATTCATACAAGACGAAGAATGCTCGGGCTTTGATCTGAAGTTGGAAAACCTTGGCTCTGATACGCCACAGCCGAGGAGCCGTGCTTGATGGTGGCGGCTCTGCAGTCTTGGTTGGAGAACAGGGGGCCTAGAAAACTCAATGACGATAGTTGGGGTTAGTCCATAGGTGTGCTGGAAAGTTACATAGAGCAACATCCAGCACCTCTCACCAAACTCTGTGAGAATAATCAGTCGAGTCTTCGCTTTTCGGCACGGGCGAGTCTTTCGCGTTCATCTCCAAAAGTGCTTTCATTACCAAGAAGATCTGATGAATGTTCACGATGCAGATAGAGTACTGTTGCAATGCAGGACAAAAGGACCAACAGCAAGTCACAATATGCAACTTTGTTTTGTAAAATCTCATTTTGGTGGATGACCTGAGACAGAACCCAAACACCAACTGAAGACAAAACTGGTATCGTGAGTCTGGTACATAATGACATCTACTACATGTATGTGATTCCCTCTACGGTACCAGTGCCCACATATCCCCGAAAGCTCAGGCCAACGGCTCTCTACTGGGGCCTGGGGTAAGTACTGGCCGTTCAGTATCGTGAGGCTTCCATTGTGGGTTTTCAGAACGGCCACCGTCTCGAGGTGGCGTTGAAAGCCTAACGGTCACCGTTTGACTCCCCAAGAAAGGATCTCACGATCAAGTGTCGGCCACCTCAATGTCGCGTCTATCCTTGTATCGTGGGGCGTGTACACACCTCTCAAGTGGAGTGTGGCACGTTTATCAAGATCGTGTATGCTCCTCTGGGTCATCATGTGACTCATTAATTACTAAAGTTTCATTTTGGTCAATCGTTTGACATTGCTGGCCTCCGCATGACGAGAAGTTGTTCTTCCCTTGCAATGATTCACTACATATAAAATGATCACAGAAGCATGCAAAGCCTGTTATCAAATCCATATCAAGTAAAGACTCGAATTGTGTTCAATCTATTTTATTTGAAACGTCTAAAAACGCAATGGAGAACCATGCAAATTGCCAAATGTCATCTATATCCAAATAATAACACCACCATAGCGATGGATAGTTTTCTTCCTTTCAATAGATCTACTCGTGCAGCCGCAAAAACACAAACACAACCACAAATCCAGACCTGAGATATGATAGTATGGCAATCGCTTTTAGGAAGTAGTTGATGTTGCAAGGTTCTCGACCTTGGCAGTGAGAGCCTCAATCGTTCCGTTGGGTTTGCCGGATTCCTCGCTTGACTTACTCTCACTTTCCTTAGAAGGCGCCAGAGATGGCACTTGAGGCACCTTGAACAGATAATCACTGGGGATGAGCTTGGCTCTAGCAGCTGGGTTGATGGTTAAGCCGAAACCGGGCTTGTCCAGGTCAGCGGTGGTAAGGAAGCCCTTCGTGGGGATGGGCTCGTCGGTAAAGAGGTCTCCAAAAACAGGCAACACGCTGCGGCCGTCGGGAGAGTTGGCCAAATACTCCTGAAAGGGGGTGTTGGGCTGGGAGATCTGGAAGTGGTAGCTGTAAGGTCCGCTCGCGTGGGGAACAACCGGAATATCGTAGGCGGCAGCCAAAGCAGCGACCTTCAGAAGTTCAGTTAGACCGCCAAGCCACATAACATCAGGCTGAATGATATCGAGAT